TTTCAGCAATAACTAATGTACTTTTTCACAGACAGAACTGAACAGTAAAAACTTCTTAAACTGTCGATTCAGATTCTAATTTAGTTTCTTCCTTTTAAAAGCAGGAGCTTCAAAACTTTCCTCATGCTGCTTTTTATTTTGAATAAGCTTCTTGAAAAAAAAAAAAAAAAAAATTCCACGTGCAGTCAAACATTTTATGATCTTTGTTTTGATATTGTAACAGGAGGGAATATTTACCTCATCTGATTTTGCATATTTATAAATTCTTCGTCCATAGTTATATTTCCACATATTATTTTGTCTTGAAAATTTTGAATTATTTTTTCACATAGAAAGCATAATTTAAAAATTTCAGGAGGACTTTTAAATCCCCCCTAAATTTGCAAAATTAATTAATTAATACTGCTAATTAAAACATATTTCCTGTTCACACATTGAAAATAAATTTAAAGTAACTATAGTTAGAAATACAACATGAAGGTTTACTATAACATAAAAGCATGATAATAGGATCAAAATGATGCATAGAATATTTAAATTAATACTTCTTCAAAATGCCTAGACAAATACACAATTTATTTATCTTAATATAACGAAAAACCTAAATAATTTATAATTTAGATCATAACTATGTATCCAATTTTTAACAAAGGTGCAAACCAACAGGTTTGGTGACAATACATCAAAATATAGCATGCGACTTTAAATTACCAATCGTAGAGTAAAATTGAAACACGAAAAGTCATATCACATTTCTAACCAAGCACACAAAATTTACATGAAATGTAGTGTACAATTTTACAAACGATAATAAAAGAAACATCACAAACAGTATCGGCTATAATTTACTGCACAAACACACACACATTCCGCAGTTTATTTTGTATTTATAAAATCATTTGATCATTAATAAATGATAGTTAAACGAAAATGCACGTTTTAAAGAAATACGAAGAGTAATTTATTCTAACATTCTATGAGAAAATTCGAAGCTGAACTTACCTCAAAAACATGCTTTTGAGACCGGAATCCATTGATTTTGACGAGAATTAATTATCCATTTTCTTCATTTTTGGCGAAACGTCCTAAACTTATTTTTTGAATGATTGGAACAATTTGATGCAACACATCCACCCATATTTGTCAAAATTAAGTCGGAATCGACCAACAAATATGTCAACAAAAGGACACTGTAAAATAGCGATAGCAACAAGCACGCTTCGTTCGTTACAACGGACGACGCATCAAATCCCCGATGACCACAACTTGTGACGTCACAAAACCGCCATCTGGCTTGTAGTAGAGTCGTGTTACTGTGGTAGGGTTGTCACCGGGTAGATAGAAATGGCAGTTCTGCTAATATTTGGTACCCGTAACTACCTTTACGGTTGGGTCGGACGCCGGAAGAGTTTACGTCGTATTTGAGGAATATTCACTCTTTGTTGTGTTACAAAAGTCAGAAGTCAGAAGCGCATACGGAAGGCCGTCAGGAAATAGGAAAAAATAAAATAAAAAATAAATAAATAAAATAAATATTACAATAACAGCATTAATTAGTAATTAAAATAATAAAAAATTACTTAGTAAAAAACTTATTAATTAAAATAATAAAAAATACTGATTAAAAGAATGAATAATTAAAGTAACATAATAATTAGCAACTGAAATATAAAATACTCATAAGTAAAATTTAACAAAAATGTAAAGACAAATAAAAATTAAAATAATTCTTTAATTTATGATGAATAGTTAAATTATAAAGTAAAATACCAGACCTCGTCTTATTGGCTTAGTACCTTTTCGTCCTTTTTCATTTCATTCCAGCTCCAAAAAGTGTCATTTCGTTCGCTGCCTTTCCCCCACCAATTCCCTCTTTTCCGTTTTATAGTCTGTTTGAAAAATAGGTGTTTACTTTACGATAAGACGAACGTCTGTTTACTTCAATTAAAATGGTTTAGAAGAGATGACTGTTTCTACTTCGACTTAGCTTTTGATTTCTAATACTATTTATTATTTTATGCAGACGAATTATGCTGAGCAGAAGAATGAATTTCAGACGTGTTCAGAAGGTGTTGTATCTAAATATAACAACATTTTTGTTATATTGTATCCATTTTTTTAATTTCACACATTTCTAAAGCAAAAGAACCACGGTATCAATATTTTGGCACACACACACCAAAAACATGTAAAATTAACATTAATGTTACATTCTTTATTAAAAGCAATGGGTCCTCTTTAAATGCAACCATTCATGCTTTTTAGAGGATTTCACATGTCGTGGTCTTAAAAAGGTGATGTTCATTACCAATGTTTGTTTATGTTCACAAAAATACAGATCTCTTAGAAATTGACATCTTAGAGATGTCGTAATTAGATGATTTGCTATAATTATTTTCTAATAGATAACGGAATTAATGTAATTTAATGTCAATAACTCGAAGAAGCAAGCAAGTTTCAATACGGTGCTGCAACAAAATACAGAAGTATTTTAAATGACGAAAAATATTCATATTTTGTCAATGTCAAATTTTAAAAAGAATTAATTTTGGACAAATTATGAAATTTAACTTTTAATGTTGTCTTCTGGTTCCTATATTTATAGCTGGCAAAGTTTTATACTCGTTATGAAAAAGTAAAAATACAAGAAGTATGAGTTTCGTAGACAGAGATTGACCAGGAAATTTAATTTCAAAATTTGCAGTGTTTGACGCCATTTGTAACTTGCCTTCGGGTATCGCTTAATTAAGTTAGAATATTTCGAGGAAATATGTTTAAATGAAGTGCAGCAAAAATAAGCATAATTTAAAAAGTTATGCGGTATCCATATCAAATTTCACTTTTCATAATGACAATAAAACTTTCCCAAATACAAATAAAGAAACTGGGTTGGTGTATTTAATTATGGCAAAGCACACTAAGGCTATCTGCCTAAATGGGGGATGCCTTCGTGGAGGACTTTCTAAGGAAAATGGCTGATATACACTTTACACATGGGTAAAACCACGAAAACACCCATGCAGCCAGCCCGTTCGCGGGATTCGAACCTCAGACCGAACTACCAGTGTTCAACGACGCTACCGCTGGACCGCTGGTGGGCTGAAGAAGCTGGGAGACGGCATTAAAGAGTAGATTTCGTTATTTGTCAGTTATTCGTTACTTCGTTTGCTGCTTCTCCCCATTCCTTTCATCAGAAGCGCTAATGACGAAAGGGTGAATTTCTAGTAAAGCATGTATATTTTATAGTAATTTCTAGTAAAGCATGTATATTAATGTTCATTATACATTTGTCACATTTTTGCTTTCTTTGAAGCAATAATGTGGTTCTAAACAGCGATAATATTGCTTCTATAAATTTATAAAATGCGAAATTAATAAAATGAGCCCGTATGTTATAAAAACCTAATTATATTCAGATACACACCTTTTGCACATGTTTGAAATCCATTATTCTAATCAGAATACTTTGTCTACAGAAAATATTGAATCAATATTAGAAATCAAAAGCTAAGTGAGAAGGAAAGTAGTAAGAGTCATATCGTCTAACCTGTTTTAATTGAAGAAAACAAGTGCTTGCTTTATCGTAAAGTGAACACCTGTTTTTGCAAACAGCGAATGAAATGAAAAAGGAGCCCCCACCAGCGCTCGAGCGGTAAAGTCGCTGAAGACTAATAGTTTTCGTTCCGGAGTTCAAGTTCCCGGCTAACGGCTGGCTGCACGGGCGTTTTCGTGGGCTTTCCCCATGTGTAACTTGCATATGAGCCTAGTTTCCTTTAAAAAGTCCTCCACGAAGGCATCCCTTCCCTTAGGCAATAGCCCTAGTGTGCATTGCCGTAACCAAATAATCCGAAACCGAAAAAAAAAAGGGAAATGGTGGTTGAAGGCAGCGACGAAAGGTCGTTTTAGAAGAATAAGGCTACATAACCTAAATTTCTATCTATACTCTGGTAAAATAATAAAAGCCAAGTAACTTAATTAGTGATAAATAAATAAATAAAAACCAAGGCTTTATTTTCGCCTTACTTGGCTTTTATTTATATTTATATATATATGTGTGTACTTTACATTTAGTTATAAGGATATATATATATATGTGTGTGTGTGTGTGTGTACTTTACATTTAATTATAATTTCTTTAAAATATACATATTTACGTTTTGTAGTATTACCGATTGCAATAAAAAGGGAGGTGCACATCTAGATGTTATAACAGGCCCATATACAAAATTTCAACGTTCTAGAACTAATCGTTTTTGAGTTATGCGAAATGCATATATATGTACTTACACATCACGAAAAAATCCCTTTCAAGTATCAACTTGGAGTCATAAGTATCAGCTTAGAGTAAATGGGATTACATTTAACAATCCGTTTCTGGAATTTAAAAAAAAAAAAGTGTTTGTACGTACAGACGTCATCCAAAAAAATAATTCACATGGATTCTGTAATCGTCAAAAATGGATATTTCCGTTGAAATATGATACCCAAAAATTTTTCTCGATTACAATACTTACTTCCTTTTTATTTCGTACAAGGAAGTAAAGAACTTATATTAACCTACATATTCTTATTTAAACAATACCTAAGTGCAGTATATAAATATTTCAACTCAATAAAATCTCCCAATGGCACGCTCAAGAAAAAAATCAATAATCATCTAAATTTTCAAATTACAAACATAACATGCACTATAAATCTAAATGTGAAAAGCAAATACAAAATAACGCTTCACGCTATCAAAATTGATCATCTTCTTAAATATCAACAACTAAACAATATTTCAACTAAAACACATAATGTAAACGCCGCCCAACCGGTATAGTGGTTAGCGTTGCTGACTACCGTGCCGAAGGGTCCGGGTTCGAATCCCGGAGAAGGCATGGATGTTTGTATATGTTTAATAAAAATTTGTAAAAAACGTTTGTTGTTAATTTCAATATTAACCCTCACGGATTGGAGGAAACGGCGTTCGCCAAAGCCCTCATTTTCTTTCTTCTTGTTTAAAAAGCAAGATTGATACTGATACTGATACTGATAATGTAAACAAGAGTTTGCCCGATGAGTTAACCAAAAAATTTCGAAATTATCAATGAAAAATGTGGCACACGGGTATTGTTAGCAAATGTATCATTCGTATTCGAACAGCAACCGCATTATTCGTATTCGCATAGAAACCGCATCATTCGTATTCGCATAGCAACCGCATCATACGTATTCGAATAGCAACCCCATCATTCGTACTCGAATAAACCGCATCATACGACAGATGCGAGTAACGAACTGAATTTGTGAGTACCGAATCGGTACTTCGAGTCAACCGATGTACCCGTTACTCGGTAACGAATACATGCGATTTGCACCAGCTCTAGTCAACAACGAATTCCATTTTTTATATCGTGATGAAGAAGTTTGTTTTCCTTGAAACTCATTTTATTCTATAAATTCCACGGGCATATTTTTTTATGTTAGTGATTGTTTTAAAATTATGATGCGTGTTTTTAATTAAAGCATCATGAAGTGTGATTTAGACTTGTAAATATTCACAGCTATAAATGCCAATTACTTTTTTAACGTAAGCATTAACGGTTATATTAAATCTAGAACTTCACATGCACAAAAATTCTTTTATTCCTTAAAATAAGAAAAGAATTGCCCAGAAAGGAATCTTGTGCAAATTTTGTTATTGTTTATGTATATGGAAAGGAAATTAACTTAATTATACATATGAAGAAATGGAGCTGTGTAACGGTGATTCAAACATGCTCATGCAAAAATTAATACTAGATCAGAAACCAGTTAAATGTGATGAATGTAGTGAATTATTTGCAGATCATTGCGAGTTAGAAACACATATGCTTGTGCACCCTGAAAAGAAGCTCTTTAAATGTGAAACATGTCTCAGATCTTTTGCCAATAACTATCACTTTAGAAAACGTATGCTTACCCAAGGTGATGACAAACCACCTAAATGTATATGCAACAAGTTAGTTCCTAAAAAGACTCTTGATACGAATAACAATTTTTACAAATGTAATGTATGCAACAAGTCGTTTCCAAAGAGGGACAACTTAACTAAACACATGCGTATCCACTCAGTTAAGAAACCACATACATGCGATGTATGTAATAAATCATTTAAATGGAGTCATAGTTTAAATATACATATGCGCATTCATACAGATAAGAGACCATACGATTGTAATTTATGCAGCAAGTCATTTAAGCAGATTGGTCATTTCAAAAATCACATGCATGTCCATACTGGTGAGAAGGCATATAATTGCAGTATATGTGGCAAGACATTTGCATTAAATGGTGATTTAAATAAACATATGCTTTTTCATAGTGGTGAAAGACCATATAAATGTGATGTATGTCTTAAGTCATTTATACTAAAGAGTGCATTAATAAAGCATTCTCGTATCCACACAGGTGAAAAACCATATAAATGTGACTTTTGTAGCAAGTCATTTACACAAGGAAGTAACCTAAAGAGACATGTGCGTATTCATACGGGTGAAAAACCATACACATGTCATTTATGCAGCAAATCTTTTACGCAGAAATTTCAACTAAGAAAACATCTAAATAATATGCATAATTGAAAAAGGTATTATGTAACAATTCAATGTAATAGATGCTTGACGTTTTTTTATTAGCATTCAGGAAATCTTTTATACAGAAAATTCAACTAAGAAAATATCTGCATAATATGCATAATTGAAAAAAGGATTATGTAACAAAGCAATGTAATAAAAGTTTGATGTTATTTACTACCATTCAGTGAAACGATTTTGAATGTTATATGGAGCAGGTGATTTGTGTAATCTAGTGAAAAACTTGCACATATTCATAGAAAGGAGAAAAAGAGTAAATGTAGATTAATCTTTTAAGTATGTAATTGGTGACTGTAATGTAAAGTTTAAGTATGTAATTTACAAAGTATGTAATTGGTGACTGTAATATATATTACGTAACAATTTTTAAGCCAGTTTTCAATAAAATATGGTATGCTTTAATATTAAAACATTTTAAAGCAAGCTGTGTCCAATGATCACTAATGCCAATCATATAACCTCAGATGAAGGATAACCTAAATATAGATATCAGGCCATTTGCGAGACAGCTTAGTTTTTATATATGTGTGTGAATACATTTATACTAAGATGTATATAAATAAATTGAATATTAAATACAATATACAGGGTGTCCCAAAATGACTGCATAAACTCTGAACAGCTAGATTCCTCGGGAGTACATAAAAACTGCCCAAAGAAGCATTCCTGTACGATCCATAGTTTACGAAAAACAAAGTATGACATCACTGCCGGTGCAAGAAAAAAACACTTTATTGGACATATGAACAACAGTATTGGCATATCTTTCCACACGATAATGTTTAAAACGTTCACCGTGCATATCGCGTCATGCAAGTGCGTGCGCTGTGGAATGACATTAAGCCGCTGTTGAACTCGTATTTAAAAGGCTACATCTTGCAGCTACTGGTAGTCTTAATATGGTGGCCATGTGTTCCGTTTGTGACTCCCGTGACATGTACTTGATGTACGGCCGATGTAATGGAAATGCCTTACAAACTGCTGGGGAGTATGCCCGTTGATATCTGTCCCGCCGTCCTCCTGATGTCAACGTCATCTGTAGGCTGGACGACAGACTACAAAATACGGGAAGCGTCTTACCAACAGCCAATCTTCGCGATACTGGAAGACTGGGAAGTGGTCTGACGATAGCACAGGCAGATGCAATACTGCAGCGGGTAGAAGAGACGCCCGTAAGCACATGCACATTAGCCAGTGAGATGCTATTGCACTGAAGATGACCAGTGAGTAAAAGTACTGTGCACAGGCTTGCACGGTCTGAGAGGCTACACCCATATCGATACACAACCATGCAAGGTCAAACCAGATGACTTTCAGAAATGCGTGGCCTTCTGTGAATGGCTGTTGCAGCAACAGAACACAGATAATGGTTTCATTGCACATATCCTGTGGACAGATGAATCGTGTTTAACTCGTAATGGGGTATTCAACCGTCACAACAGCCATATGTGGTCCCAGGTCAATCCGGCCGCAGGAACGTTGGTCTCTTAACGTGTGGGCCGGCATATTCGGCGATCGCCTGCTTGGACTATATCTGTTGCCTGAATGGCTCTCAGGACAGTCATACTTAGTGTTTTTTAAATGAGGTCTTAACCGAGTTCCTCGATGACATACCATTAGCGGCAATACAGGGACTTTAGTTCCAGCATAATGGGGCTCCGGTGCATTTCTGTGCTCCTGTACATGGTTGGCTGGATATGGAATATCTTGGCCGCTGGGGTCCGGTTCTATGGCTCCACATTCGCCAGATCCTACACCGTTGCATTTTTTCCTATGGGGCCATCTCAAGGAACTGGTGTATCAAGACGTAGTGACAATACCAATGGCCTTAGTTGCTCGTCTGCTGCTGCTTGTACTTCGGTGGCCCTGCGATGCTGCAACGTGTGATGACAGCCATTCCACGGCGTGCTCAAGCCTGCCTCGACATGCACGGCAGAGACTTTAAACATCTGTTTTAAATTGCGCATATACTGCTGTTGATATGTTCAATAAAGTGTTTTTTCTTGCACCGGCAGTGACATCGTACTTTTTTCTTCGTATTTTTCTTGTAAACTTTGGATCGTACAGGAACGCTTGTTTGGATAGTTTTTATGTACTCCCAATGAGGAATCTAGCTGTTCAGAGTTTATGCAGTCGTTTTGGGACATATTGTATATATAGTGAAAGCCTCAGTTAATATGAATTTAATATGTCTAAAAATCATTAGTTTGAAGTTTTACTCCCAATTTACTAAGTCATCAAATGGAATTTTTCTTTTTTATATCCTTATTAAAATGTGTCCATGGTTAGTCATTAAAACTGACAAACTTAATTGCTAAATATGTAACATGCAAGATTTAAATGTCATTGCTAAAAACCTATGCAAATGGCCACTTTAATAAAGAAGTGTATTGCGCATATGTTTACTCATGTTGAAATTTTTACCATTTTGCAGCAATTAAGTTTTTAAAATCTAAACCACATTAATAAGTGAAAATGATAGCTATTGCACTAAAGAAATAGACTGCAGTTCGTGATATCCATGTTTATGATACAGATGTAATTAAACTTAATAAATATTAAAACTTTGCTTGATTAATATTTAGTTGTAGGGGATATAAATCTTTTACATTATTTATGTGCAAAAATTATTAATTAATTATAAATATTATGAATAAATTGGGTTTTTTAGGTATATCAAGAGGAAACTTATCACAAATAATATTTCATTGCAAAGATCCCATTAAATATCAACATCACCGAAATAGCATTATGGTGATATCATCATGAATATATTTTCTGAGTTAACAGCCATTCTATCTACCAGTCATAATCCCGTTTTATATTGTTACATATAATATATGTTTAATATTATTCTTTGTTTAGTTCTTTCATTAGGGTATTACTATTTTCAGTACTGATTTTTATTTAGGAATTTGCCCTTTATAGGTTTAGAGGTACTCTTCTGTTATTGGGGGACTGGTTTCAGAAATGTATGCATGTGTGTATGTATATATATGTGTTTACACACGCATACACATATACGTGCATACATAAAGACATACATTTCTGAGTCCGGTCCTGATAATAGAAGAATACCGGTTTAGATAAGAAAGTTGTCAGACCCAGGAGAATATATGCATTTAATGAAATTTTGAATAATATTATGATCAAAAAGCTTATTCATCTTATGAATACTACAGACACTAAACTATAAAGTATCCCAAAATTTTGTAGATTTCACAGTTAAAACATATACACAGACTATCACATTAAACCAGAAGTCACTGAATATCAAAATTTCAAAGGTGAGATATGGAAGGAATATTTTACCTGGAATAGTTAGATAACAAATAAAACAGTAGCTATCTGTAATGCTAAAAATAGATATAAAAGGCAATTGTTCCATTATATAATTTCATCTGTGACAGTTTGCAGCATAGTGTGTGTGTTTAAAATATCTAGTTGTAACGAACATTTTCTGCCGAAAAAAAAAAAGGTTCTTAATAAAGTTAGAAAAAAAACAAACAAAAACATGAAAGCAATATCTTTAGTGCGGGTAGTTATCATGACCCAAATCTATGATTTTCTGCCAATGTTGTGGTAGTTTTTCAAAGCTGTTGGTCCAGAAACTTAGTAGCCGGGAACCGAAAAACAGATCAACCTCATTTCAGATGTCCTGTGCAGAATAAAAGATAGCACCAGCAAGATGTAGCTACAAGTGTGAAAAAGGTAGAAATCCAAAGGAGTGATGTCGGAGTTATATGACGGGCGTGGCAAAAGATTCCATTCGAGTCCGTACAGAGTTTAGCCGGTGAATGCGGACACATGTGGTCTTGCATTATCTTGATGGAACATTACCTTTTTGCATCAGAATTTACTTCGACACTTTTCCTTAATCGCAGCATCAGCATGGAGTAGTTTCTTGCTGCACACCTTATTGTCAAGGGTTTTACCTTTTTCAAGATATTCTCTGTCGAAAATTCCTCGGCAATCCCATCAGATACAAAGCATGACCTTTTTGTTAATCCAGCCGTGCTTTGCGACACAGCCAATGGCCTAACCGGCTGCAGACCAACCCCCTTTTCAGCCTGTGTTTTTGAAGTTAATCCACTTTTCATTACAACTGATGATGCGCTTCAGAATTTTGTCCTTGCACTGATATTTGAGCAGATTAGTGGAGGCCCGAACATATCTGTCCTTATCAGCTTGAGTCAGCTCATGCATCACCCAGCGATGTAACTTTTAAGTCAAGTTTATGCGAGTAATGGAGATGGCACAAAAGTCTTAATTCCGTAGCAAGCTTTCGAGTGGTTGCATACTGATCTTCCACAACTTCTCGCAGGCAGACCTCACCAACATCAGTAGGCTGGCCAGAGCACTCTGCCTCTTGAATATCAGAGTCTTTGTTTTTTTAACTTTTAAATACCAAACCTTCAGTGTTCTACGATACAAGATTAGTGCTTAAATTTTCGTGCGTGATATGGTGACATTCTGTAGCTAACTTTTTGCAGCAGAACTGAAAGTAAATGATGGTTTTAATATAGTAGTGTGATATTTCTTTTTGAGTCACCTTGAACTTAACAATAACAATATTTTTTTAAAAATTTCACAACACGGTGTTCTAAAATAAGTCTCTTTCAAATGCCAAAAAGTGATTTGACAAAATTTGATTAAACATGTCAATGCAAACTGTTTGCATAGAGGATACTTGTGGTGATAGGGAACTTTCATTAAAACCTGATTTATTAAAATAGCGATTAAAGAGAAAAGTATAGAAATTAAAAAAGCAAATAATAATTTTGATCATATTAGATAAACCTAGTAACTTCAGATGCATAATTATATTTAATTTTCAATACAGTACAAAGTCCGTTTTTTGAGAAAATATTTTAATTGGTGATTTAGGTATTGTTTGCTTGTAAATAAACACGTTATTACAAATTAATTTAAAGTATTTATTTTTGAGACTAACTTTTTGTAATCTATTTATTTTTAATATATTGAATTTTAAGAACAGATAAATTTAGCGGAAATTTCCTGTATTCATGATCTTGAAAATGTTTCACGATAACAAGCCATTAGTTTCAGTCAAACATTAAATATTTTAATATCATATGCTACTATTTTGTTTTTATTAATTTTTTAATAGTCCTAGTATCAGGTGCACACGGGATTTGGCGACTTTATGATGAACAGTAAAAACAGGACATATATGATGAGTAGTAAATGGGTCATTCAAAGAATATATATAGTATATACTATGTATAGAGTGATAGCATATAATTTATAGTATATACATAGACGTTCTTTGGGTCATTTTTGGTGTTGGCGATAATTTTCAAAATCGCGCCAAGGCTGCACCGTATACTAGGATTACCTTTTAATATTTATGATGACAAAATAAATTTTTTAGTCTCTATTGTAGTACATAATTTTTTAGGAAAGTTCACAGTGGAATGTTAAAAGATAGCAGTATTTGAATGTATGTACTGCTGCAAGAAGTACAAAAAGAAAAATATTTTGTATGAACACATTCGGGAAGTACATAAAGTAACTGTTGTGGTTGATGGAAATTTGAAATGTCGATTAATGTCTGCAATTTTTCCTGTAGAACTTTTGAAGATTTAAGAAATCACATAAAAGATCAAGATGGATACACTCTTAACTCCGTTGAAATGACATTTAATACATATGAACATAAGATATTAGAAAATTACATTTACATTTTCTGTGATAAACATTTTTAATTTGAACAGCCCAAAAATGAGTACAAATTACTATTTTTGCAAATTCATTTATCAAGCTGGAGAATAAAATACATTTATTTTTGTGAATATAATTAATTGCTGAATAATTTCCTTAGCATCTTGCTTTTTTCTGATGCATCTGTTTTTGTAAATATAATTGATAACAGAATAATTTCCTTAGCGTCTTGCTTTTAGCCTGATAAAGCACCGTTATTCTTCAGTAAAAATATTTCAAAGTAATATTTCTCTTCCTCCTTTCAACTACTTGAAATATGAAGTAAATATTTTGTAACTAATAAAAACATATACAGTACTGCTATATAATTAAAATTATTTATGCATATAATTCAGTATTTCATTAAAAAAAGAATTAGACTATTCTTATATTACACAAACAGATTTTTTAATGCATATGTATGACTAAGATACAAAAAATTGTTAAAATCTTTATTAAAGAACTAGCAACCTTCAGTTGTAAATTTAGCATCATAATGATAGATGCATATTTTTATATGCCAATGAGGCTTAAAATTTATTATATGTTATTTTAAAACTGCTTAAATGAAATAAAGGAATTTAATCAATGTCTTAAAATTTTAATGAGCTGTACACATTGTATTAATTATTAGAAAATATGTTACTTTTTTTTTTTTTTTTTTTACATTAGACCTAGGCCAGATACGTTCATGTTATGAAAAATGTTCTGATGATAATTTGTCTCTAAGAATAAATTTCTTGCATTATTATACAATTTTGGGGAATATGTTTTAAGTCTATTTAGCTGGAACACTAGTATTAGTAACTGTCAAATAGGAAGAAAAATATGCCAGTGTATTACTTAAAATTAGGCAACTTTATTTCAATATAAATTTTAAATAAAACTGTCATTTTTTACAGCAATTTGACACAGTCCCTCTTCTTCAAGAGGAAAAAATGATGCTAAAGGGACCAGTATCTATTTAAAATCAGTGCCAAAATAAGGTTGTTGTATATAAAATAATCTCTATATATTTTATAAATTAAAATATACTAAGATGAATTAAAAACAGTATATAAAATAAAATGCTCTTAATCTTGTCTCTACTTCATCCTTACTAGTTACACAATTTATTAATTAGTTTTTTTATCTGCATTTTATATTGCAGTATTTCACTACTAATTTAGTAGTGTAATGTTCTCCAGTTGATGGTACATATACAGTTCAGTTAGCAACATCAACATATAATGTGTTTATTAGGACATATCACAACAATATGTGCAAAAGAACTAAAAGTTTCAG